CCCCCTCCTTGCCCCTTCCTCTCCCAATAGCCCCTCCCTCTCCATCCCCATAGCTCCTCCCTCTCCCAGTGGCCCCTCCCTTCCAATAGCCCCTCCCTCCCCCTGCCCGCTTTCCTATTAGCCACACTCCTGCTCCCTGCCCCGCCCTCCCGCTCCTTAGCCCCGCCCACTCCGTGGCCCCGCCTCCTTATCCTCCTCCCTGGCCCATGCCGTTCCCAGGCTCCTCCCTTTCCCTCCCTGGCTCGGGCGGGACAGCCAATCAGAAGGAGCCGTCCTTTCTGAGCGTCACTAGTTGCCGGGCAGAGTCAGCTGGGGCGGCACAAGGGAGGATTCGCGGCTATAAAAAAGGGCGGGAAACGGGCGGGGAAGCGCTGCGAGGTGCCAACGGCCGCTGAGAGCGCGAGCGGGAAAGGGCCAACTGTCACCTGAGGGTTAGGAGCCAACTGTCACCTGGAGTCCTGGCTCCCAGCCCCCCCCCCGCTCTAACCACTAGACCCCACTCCCCTCCCAGAGATGGGGAGAGAACCCAGGAGTCCTGGCTCCCAGTCCCTCACACCCCCCCGCTCAAACGTTCTCAGCCCCGCTCTTCCCCCAGCTGTGGGACAGAGAACCCAGGAGTCCAGGTCCCTGTGCCATTGCTCAGTTCGGGTCTGGGCAGAGCCTGGCATAACAAGGGCGCTGATCTGGGCTGCACCTGGCACCACAGGGGCCCCGATATTTTGCAGGGGATCTGTGTAGCGCCCGGGGGCCCCTCCATTTGCTACGGCTGCAGTTTCTGTGGCTCAGGGCTCTGTCTGCACTTGAGCTCCTGGTGAGAAACAGGAAATTCAGCACCGTTCACGGCCACAGCTTTTGCAAAGGCAGCAGCACATGGGTGGGGTGTGATTTACAATCAGCGACAGACGTGTTGGAGTCGGGGCCGTGTGCAACACACAAATCTGACCACGGTTTCCGTCCGCGAGCCGGAGTTGATCTTCAGGCACTCAGCTTGCAGTGCCAAAAAATACTTATAGCCTTCAGGAGTGCAAAGAAATTTCTCCAAACCAGGGCGGGTGGGACCCACGCCTGAGTCTGCAGAGACCCCGAGCTGGTCGCTCTGAGAGGAGGGATGAACTTTAAGCAGAGCTGAGATAACAAGGATTGGGACCAAAGGATCTTTTGTACAATTTCAAGCCTTCTTTGACAAGTTGGAATCCCGGGGAACCATAGGTAATTAGGGCAACTTTGAAACAGGTTCATCACTGGTACTTAGCTATTTTAGTCTGCAGAAGAGAAGAGTGAGGGGGGATTTGATAGCAGCCTTCAATTACCTGAAGGGGGGTTCCAAAGAGGATGGAGCTCGGCTGTTCTCAGTGGTACCTGATGACAGAACAAGGAGCAATGGTCTCAAGTTGCAGTGGGGGAGGTCTAGGTTGCATATTAGGAAACACTATTTCACCAGGAGGGCGGTGAAGCACTGGAGTGGGTTACCTAGGGAGGTGGTGGAATCTCCTTCCTTAGAGGTTTTTAAGGCCCAGCTTGACAAAGCCCTGGCTGGGATGATTTACTTGGGGATTGGTCCTGCTTTGAGCAGGGGGTTGGACTAGATACCTCCTGAGGTCTCTTCCAACCCTGATATTCTATGATTCTATACGAATTAACATAGGGCATATTCCTCCACCACTTCAAAGAGAGATGAATACCGAGATATCCCATGTTTACAATTCATTTAAATGCTAGGATGTTCTTTTGATCTCCGAATTATCAGAATACATCATAGACAAGAACTGTTGATTACATTGTTCACCACTGCCGGTATATATGTAAATACACAAAACCACAAACATTATCTTCACATATGTCTTTAAGGGTTGAATTTGAGTCATTTATTTTGCAGGATGCTTAACCCTTTCTGGAGAAGTGTCACAGGTGGAATGGCTTGTTTTGATCCAACTGCTTAAAATGTTTCATTTCCAAACAGAACCTGTTTTAGAACTTTACATTCCACCCAAATTTCCAATTTCTCACCCATATGTCCCGGTTCAGAAGAAAAACAAGTGTTAAAAAATAGATGGAAAGTCTATCTTTTTAACATCTGAACCGGGAGCACTTGAAATTCCATCCAAGATCCTTGCCCGTGAACAGCATTATTTTCCAACCTCCTATCACCTTCTCTACTGCAATCTCTCCTCCTACAGGAGTCTCACTCTACCATGTTTTTCAAACAAACACATCTGCACTGGAAAAAAAGTCAGAAGCCTTAAAAAACTCTCCCCATTGTTTCCACTAGAAATTTCCTCTTAGCAAGGTGTGTCGTACATTCACAAGACAGATATATTTCCTAGTGCAAAATGTTTATTTAAATAACATTGAAATATTTGTAAGGAAAAGAAAATATGTTCCATAAATGTAACTATGACTGGGGTGGAGCATATCAGTGAGCTATTACATATAGATATAAACATACACACATACACAAATATATATATATATATATACACACAAACACTAACTTTTTGTCCACAAGGAAAAACATTTTCCATGATGATTTTTTCTGAAAATATTGTTTGTAAAGAGAAACATCTTCCCCAAAGTATTTTCCTTTTTAAAATGATATCGTTTTTGTCAAGAAGACGAGTTCACAAAGATATTTTTTCTGTTCAAAGCTCTTTCTGCACTGGAAGAACATTTCCCAGCAGACAGCTTTCATTAAAAATGCTTCATTTAAAACACATTGAAATAACATTTTATCACAAGTTATTGTTCCCCAGAAATGTTTGATTTGACAGAACCGTTGTGACAGTGCTGCCCATGGGAGCCAGCTGAGGTCACTCAGCCAGGGTGAACTGCAAACAGACCGGGGCAGACAAACCCCGAACGCTGGTGGATATTCCAATACTTAGATTTGCCAAGCTAGCACAAAACAGCTTCTACAGTACCTCACTGGTTACTCAGACGTCCAAACAACGCAGTTCCCTTAAAGTGCCCAGCCTCAGGCCTCCGTCCAGACACACGTCAGATATGATGGTTACTGAAAATCTTACTTCATCATATAAAAGAAAAGGTTCTTCCAATCCCAAAGGATCAGCCACATACCCAGGTTCAATTATAACTTAGATCTTACCCAAAATACACATTATAGCCAATTCTTATTAACTAAGCTAAAATTTATTACAAAAGAAAAGCGAGAGAGTGTTGGTTAAAAGATCAATATACAGACAGACTTGAATTCAATTCTTGAGGTTCAGACACAGCAGAGATGAGCTTGTAGTTGCCAAAAGTCCTTTTAGAAATAGTCCCGAGGCTATAGTCCAATGTCCATATTCAGGGTGACTCCAGTCAGTGACTGGGGATCTCAATCTTTGTGGCTTAAGGTTTCCCCCTCTTGAAATCCAAAGCAGATCTGAGATGAAGTAGGATCATGTCCCAGGGTTCTTATATATTTCCAGCAGCCTTTCGGCCTGAGAAAACAATAGGCTTAATTCTCCTTCTCTCAAACATCCTGGCAATTAGCACAGGGTCATTTATCCGTTAAACAGTTCAGATACAGGTCACCTTAACCTTCAAAGAGACATAGAGACAATAATACTATTTCAGTCAAGTATCATCACAAACGTTAATATTCCTTTTTTGATCTTTGAATTTAAAACTATAGCAATAGACAAGACTTGTTTGCTTACATCACAAGCCCTGAGCAAACATCTCCCCTTTTACCTCTAACAATGCAGACTTACATTTCAAAGCTCTATTCATTTACATATCTTCCTAACCAGTTCGACAGTTCACCCATGGGTCAGGTCAGTCTGAGTTAATTAACTCTTTCTGGCCCTGTCACCTTTCAATGAAATATTATTTTACACTCATAACGTCACAACTGTTTCTAAATAAGCCAAGGAAAAAGTTGGGGCCAGATCTCAGCTGGTGTCAAACTGCTACGCCTGCACTGACCTCAGTGGGGTCGGTAATGAGAGTGTGTAAATCAGTTCCATTGACGTCAGAAGAGCTACAGACGATAGACACCAACTAGGGGTCTGGCCCCATTGACTCAGATGGACCTATGGCTGATTGACACAAGCTGGGGCTCTGGTCCCATTGCTTCCAATGGATCTACAACCGATTGACCCCGTTTGCTGACTGCTTCTCCTGCGCTCTCTCTCTGCCTCCTTCTGCTGCTGCGTTCTCCTTGGGTTTCTGTGTCTTCTCCTTCTGCTGCTGGACAGGACAGGACATGAAACTCCCCTGCTGCTCCGTCAGCTCTCCATTCGGTTGTTGGACAGATGGGCCACTCAGGGAAGCTTCTCTGTTTTTTCCCCTTCTCTTCACCTTCCATTTGCTCTCCACTTACCCCTTGGCTGTCTGCTGACACACTGACTTTTATATTGACCCATCAAGACTTTCCTGAGCATGACAACTGCCCACATTCCAAACGGTCCGTTCTATTTTCAGTCTGCCACCATTGTTTACCTCAGAGTTATGATCTGCTGAGCTTTCCCCTACTTTGGTTTTCCTGCAAATTCGATTTTTAGAGCTATGTGACCTGCAGCTTCAAATAGAGGAGTGACTCTTGCTAACTTAAAATGGAAGCTAGGGATACAAAATGGAGTCTGGGGAATTTCTCTGGTATCAGCATCATCCACTCAGGATTTTGACCTGCAAGTTATTGCACGTTGTTTCTCACGTTTAGCAAAAAGGGAAGCAGGTTAGAGGGTACAATAAATAAGTCTCAAAATTCAGAGTCAAGAGTTTATCAGTTTCTGGTGCGTTTCTCAAGTGAGTTTGGTCTCCATATTTTTCAAAGGGGAAGTGTATTTGTTCCATGACTAGAGAGGAACTGACAGATTTGCAAACACTTCATCTGTGTCTGTAACAACCTGATGTTCCAGGAGAGGGGAAGTGGAGGGGAGGCCAGGAGGGCACAACTGTAGCTCAGAATTTGAACGGTCTGACTCAGATGTATGGGAAGCCAGGGACTGGGATTGGCTCCGCACTTCCTGGACGTGGGCTGAGAGATGGGCAGGAAGTTCCTCGGTCACTAGAAAACTGGATTCGAGCCTGAAGGGGAAGCTAACGTAAATTGTGATGAATCAACATTCAAGTGAAACCCTCCAGTGCCCCTGGGTCATGGCCCCACTGAGGACTCATTTCCTGGGGCTGCCGGCCCCATCCCTGAGCCATTCACCTTTCTTATTCCTCAGGCAGACGAGCAATCCCAGGCCCATGAAAACCAACCCCAGCATGGAGCCCCCGACGCCAGCCAGCATCGTGCCCTGGGAGAGTCAGTCTGTGCTTCTGTGAAAACAAGAGCACGGGTGGTTCAGGCTCAGCCCAGCTTCTCCTTCCCTTTGTCACGTCCCCACTCTCTGCCCCCGGGGTGGGGATGGGGATCTGACCCAGGCCCATCCCCTGAGGGGGCTCCACAGAGCTAGGGGTGCCCTGTGTGGCTCAGGGATTGCCCCACACTCAGAGGCTCTTACCCCAGTGCATGGTGAGGGGGCCCCACAGGCTGATGTGCTCCACCTGGCAGGTGTAGACGTCCCTGCGCCGGGGGGAGGGGGTCATGGCCAGCATCAGCAGGATCTGGAAGATCCAGTCTTCCTTGTGGAGCAGCTCCGTGGACACCACCCCGGCCATCTGCTCTTGCCTGTTCTCGAACCACTTGATTTCAATCCCCGAGAGGTAAAACCCCGTCATGGAGGAAAGTCCTAGAGCTGGGCACAGATCCAGCCCCGAGGTCCATGTCCCCAGGAGAGGGGCCGAACCCCATGCCTGGGCCGGTGCTGCCCCCTCAGGCTCTGGAGTCAGCAATGCCCCTGGAATGAGAGAGCAGAGGGGATGGGTTATGGGGTTTTAATGGCTCCACCCCCACCGCAGAGCAGGAGAGGACTCACCTGCATCTGCGGACTCACCTGCGTCACCGATGTGGCGAGGGGTGGTTCATCCACCATGGGCGCTGACTCGCCTTGGGGAGGGAGGGTCCTGGAATCGATGAATCGATGAGTCGTTCACCTGGCAACAAATGGGGGAGGGCGGGGAATGGAAACCGGAAGGGGAGGCCATCAAGGGGCGGAAGTGAAGTGGAATATTGGCTCTATATAAATCCATGGGATGCCCACACCTTGAATACTGCATGCAGATGTGGTCGCCCCATCTCAAAAAAGATAGATTGGAATTGGAAAAGGTTCAGAAAAAGGCAACAAAAATGATGAGTGGTATGGAACAGCTGCCATATGAGGAGAGATTAATAAGACTGGGACTTTTTAGCTTGGAAAAGAGGCAACTAAGGGGGGATATGATAGAGGTCTATAAAATCATGAGTGGTATTGAGACAGTAAATTTACTCCTTCTCATAATACGAGAACATGGGGCCACCAAATGAAATTAAGAGGTAGCGGGTTTAAAACAAACACAAGAAAGTATTTTTTCATGTAATGCACTGTCAACCTGTGGAACTCCTTGGCAGAGGGTGTTGTGAAGGCCAAGACTATAACGGGGTTCAAAGGGAGCTAGATAGATTCATGGCAGATCGGTCCATCAATGGCTGTTAGCCAGGCTGGGCAGGGACGGTGTCCTTAGTCTCTGTTTGCCAGAAGCTGGGAATGGGCGTCAGGGGATGGATCACTTGATGATTCCCTGTTCTGTTTATTCCCTCTGGGACACCTGGCATTGGCCACTGTTGGAAGACAGGACACTGGGCTAGACGGACCTTTGGTCTGACCCAGTATGGACGCTTTTATGTTCTTATGTAAGTGGCCACAATGGGGCATTTGCCCTCAGTTTTGGTGCAATGTCCTACAGGAAACCGGAAGCTGCACGGGAAAGTTCCAGGGTGTATTTGGTTCTTCAGGGGTTAAATCGCTCCAAGGAGAGCAGGTGGGAGAGGACGGAAGCAAGTACAGGAAGTGGGCCCAAGGCAGGGCGGAAGTGGACCAGATATGGCGTCAGGACTATAGCCATAGATGACTTGCCCGCAGTTGGGTGCAACGCTCTCGAAGGCCGGCATGGGAAACACGAGGTGGAGGGCTCCGGGGTGTGGTGGGTCCCGCAGGATTTAAAAGGGGGTGGGTGAAACTGGGATTAACGCATCAAAGGGATGGGGGACAGCAGAGGTGGATCTCAGTGAAGGCAGAAGCAAACCGGAAGTTGCATCAACCCTTCTAACATAGTCTCTAAGGTGCCACAAGTACTCCTGTTCTTTTTGGGGATACAGACTAACACGGCTGCTACTCTGAAACCGTCTAACATAAACGAAGGACTTCCCCAGGTCAGAGATGATGGGGAGGTGATAGGTGGGGAGGGGAGAAAAGTGGGGGGGGGGAGAGAGAGGGAGTGACAAAAATCCCACAAAAATGATAAATATCCAAAGGGAAACAATCAGAGACCAATTTCCAACTCGTGTTTCAATTACGTCTCTACATTGTTGGTCGATTTTCCCCAGTGATTTTTATTTAGTTCCTTCTTTTTCTCTCTTTTCCCCTTCTTCCCGCACTCATAATTTAAAAAAAACAACATTTGCATGGTGGACAAAATTCCAATTTTCAGGGGAAAAAAGATTTTCAGAAAAAAAATTAAATTTTAATGAAAAAAATATTGTTGGTTTTTTTTGCGGGGTGGGGAAGTGTCCCAATTTTCAGGGATAAAATGACACATTTTCATTGGGGAAAAAAATAATGTTCTAAAACAAAATATCAATTTTTTAGGAAAATAACATTTTTTTCATGGGGGAAAAAGGTTGATTTTCTGAAAAGCAAATTTTAAAAAATGGTGGTAAGATTTTGGAACATCACTAGGGGACTGAAGAGAAGAGAGAAGTGATGGAGAAAAGGAAAAGTTTTTACCCAACACATTTTTTCAAAAAAGTCTGAAAACAGACAATTTTTCACACAAAGAAATGATTTAATTAAAAAACAAACAAACAAACAAAAAACTTTCTTTGAGCAACTCCAGCCTGCTGGAGCTGTCACGTTGGTCACTCAGACCGATTCCACCGCCCACACGATGCTGACGTGGGCTAGCGTTTCTCTTGGAGCTCAGTTAGGAAGAGGGACCAGACACTGCGTTAATTACCCCCACCTGGTCATGCTCCATGGGGAGGCGTTGCAATCACTCCAGAGAGGACAGGGAAATAACGGATTGAGACATGATATAGTTATACTTCAGGCGTCCCCGGAGAAGGCATTTCCTGAGGATAAGACCATGCCCTAGTAGATTATTCCTTGCCGTAGAGAGGGCGAGCTGGGTTTTGTTGGGGTTCACATGGACCTTCATGCCGATAGATTTCTTCTGCTGTCCCTCAAACCCTGTGAGCGTCTCCTCCTGTGGGGAATTTCCTCGTGGCTGCGTGGCGCTGAGTGTGAGGGACTCAGGTAGTGCTGGGTGCGGAGGGACTCAGCGTCGCTGGGCGTGGTTGGACGTGTGTTCCCTGCCTCCTGGGGTCTGGACTGTAATCTCTGCGTAGTGCAGGCTCTCGCTCTCCACGGCCTCCCGGCTGCCCTGGCCCTGTGTTGGACAGACAGACAGTGAGGACGCCGTCACCCCAGATCTGGTCTTTTAATTCTGGCCAATCTAGGCCGCTCCCAGGGAGCAAATCCCACAGTGTTACCCCAGATTGGAGGGATTGGGAGCCAGGACTCCGGGGTTCTTTCCGAGCTCTGGGAGGGGAGTGGGGTCTAGTGGGGTAGAGCTGGGGGCTGGGAGCCAGGACTCCTGGGTTCTCTTCCCAGCTCTGGGAGGGGAGTGGGGTCTAGTAGGGTCTGGCAGCCAGGACTCCTGGGTTCTCTCCCCTCACTGTATTGTACCAGTCTTTATTGGCATTCGGAGACCAGACCCAAGCACTGTCTGGAACAAGGCCCAACCTGCATTGTCTCACCTTCAGCTGCTGTCGGCGAGGCTGCGAGTGGGGCGGCGCTGCACAAGAAGGGAGAAGAAAGGAACGTTAAAACAGAGGAGTGAGAGAGAGAGTCTGGGGTGAAGAGGGAAGCTGCCAAGATCTAGGGACGGGGGGGAGAAGGAGGGCGAAGAAAGGACGGGGTGGGGGCGTGGATATATGGACAGACAGCCCAGCATGGACCACAGCGGACAGACGGCCGCTCGGGTGTGTTCAGTAGCAAGGGCCCTGGCCCATGGGGCCAGGAGGTTAGCGGGGGGAAGGCTCCGGTTCGGTACCTTGGCGTCTCTTCAGGAGGAGGGTGGCCGCCAGGCCAAGGAATAGAAGGAGCCCCAGGGCGATGGCGACCTGGTACAGGAGCTCCCAGGAGCAGCTCCCTGCGGGAGCAGGTTCTTCACCTGGACGATGGAGAGGACTGTTAGGGGATTCTCAGCCCCTTGAGCCAGCCAGTCCCCTGCCCTGCGGCCAGAGAGGGGGAAGGCCCCGTGCCCCCATTCCCCACCTCACCTGTGTCACTCTGGTTTCTCCCCATCACCTGCAGCTCGGTGCCTGCTCCTGTCCCGCTCTCTCCCTGGTGGATGCTGATCTGACACTGGTAGAGACCAGAGTCCCGCTGCTCCAGCTCCGACAGGGTCAGCATGGCCTCCCCTTTCTGGAGCAGATCCAGGTGGGACACATTGAGCCGCCCGTTGTAGAAGGGATGGGCAGAATCCAGCACGACTCCAGGCGCTCTTGTCCAGGTCGCTCTGGCCATGCTGCCCTGTCTGTTCTCGAAGGAGCAGTTGAGTGTCACGGTCTCGCCAGGGGACGCTCGGAGGACAGCGGGGCTCTGAAGGACTGTGAGACCTTCGTGAACCAGGGCAATAAACATTATAGCAACAAAGGAAAACTACGACGAATGGTATCGAGACACGCCCCAGCCGCCCGAAACCTTAGCAGCACGGAGATAAGAAGCTTAGCTGGAAAAAATTGTGTGTTCCTGTCCACCTTGCTACTGCTCACAACACTGTCGATAACACATTGCACAGGACTTTCACTTCCCCCTCCAACAGATACCCCACATCAGCACTGCTATGTGCACGGCAGATGCTCACAGAGACGTTAGCCGTAAAATCACTCAGGACAGTTACGTCCAAGGCAGACTGTGCAGAGTTGCAAAGGGATCTCACTAGACTGGGTGACAAAATGGCAGATGAAACTCAAAGGTACTAAATGCAAAGTCAGGCCCACTGGGAAACATAATCCCAACTACACATATAAAATGATGGGGTCTAACTTAGCTGTTACATCTCAAAGAGATCATGGATAGTTCTTTGAAAACATCCGCTCAATGTGCAGCGGCAGACAAAAATCAAACAGGATGGTAGGAACCATTAGGAAAGGAACAGATAATAAAATGGAAAATATGATAATGCCACTAAATAAATCCAGGGTACGCCCACACCTTGAATAGTACGTGCCGTTCTGGTCACCCCATCTCAAAAAAAGATACATTAGAATTGGAAAAGGTAGGGAAAAAGGCAACAAAAATGATTAGGGGCATGGAACAGCTTCCATATGAGGAGAGACTAAAACACTGGGACTGATCAGCTTAGAAAAGAGATGAGTAAATGGGGGAATATGATAGAGCTCTATAAAGAATGGTGTGGAGAAAATGACTAGGGAAGTATTAACTACCACTTCACATAACACAAGAACCAGGGGTCACCCGATGAAATTAACAGGCAGCAGGTTTAAAACAATCAAAAAGAAGTACTTCTTCACACAACACACAGTCAACCTGTGAAACTCACTGCCAGGGGATGTTGTGAAGGCCAAAAAGGAATTAGATAAGTTCCTGGAGGATAGATCCATCAATGGCCAAGATGGTCAGGGATGGAACCCCATGCTCTGGGTGTCTCTAAATCTCTGACTGGCAGAAGCAGGGACTGGACGACAGGGGATGGATCACTTGATGATTGCCCTGTTCTGTTCATTCTCTCTGAAGCATCTGGCACCGGCCACTGTCGGAAGACAGGATACTGGGCTAGATGGACCATTGGTCTGACCCAGTATGGCCGTTCTTATGTTCTTGCAGGAGGACTGCAAGTCACACTACTAAAGAAAAGAGGCTGCTCCCTAAGGCAGAGAGGAACAACTCACCCCACATTAGTTTAGGCTGGGTCTCTGCAGACTGACTCTGATCACATGGAGACCCCTCGGCTGCAGGCAGGCCCAGGAGACCCGCTTACAAATTAAAGTGGCAGCTTGTCAGTTGAACACTTTTAAGTACACCGCAAACACATGCCTCGACTTTATACAATTTGTGCTCCAAGCTACAGGGTGGAAATGTTTCCCGATGGAACGTTTGTCCCTTGGAAAATGCCGTTTCATTGAGATGACGACAACTTGTTTAGCAATGGGGTGGACGGCACGAAAAAGCGTTTTGATAGGGTTGAAAGGGAATGGTTTGATTTTTCAATTTCCAAATTTATTTGTTGTTATATTATTTAAAAAAGAGTCAAAATTGAAATGAAATGCTTCAGTTTTACGGAAACAGAATACATCTCGTTAACCTGAAATGACATATCCCCGATCTATCCATCCATACATGCACCGATCCTCCACCCCTAGATCCATTGCTATCTATCCATCCCTAGCTCTCTGTCTATAGATAGACAGGACTTTGAGTGGATGGTAGCTAGCTAGATACAGATGCCCAGGGATGGAGTATGGATGGATAGATATTAATTTAGGGGTGCGGTGGATGGGTACATAGATAGAAATATAGATAAGAAGGATCTAGGGGGAGGGATGAATGGTTGGATGGACAGATAGAGATGAATCTAGGGGTGGAAGATGGCTGGAGGGACAGATAGAAATGGATCTAGGAATGGGGTAGATAGATGGAAGAACAGATGGGGGTGGATCAAAGGATGGGGTAGATGGACATATAGAGAAGCATCTAGGGATGGGGTAGATTGTTGCCTGATTTTAGAGGATGGTATATTATTGTAGACTCGCCAATTGATCTGACCAGAAGATAACGAGGTTCTTGTCCCAGAATGAGGCCACCCAGAATTAAATGCCGTGAGTTCAATATCTTGTAAGGACCTTCGAGGTGGATGACAAGGACACGCAGGCTGAGGAGAAATTGCAGCCATAGAGACTTATTAAAATAAGTGAAAACGCTACCAAAGCTCCACAAGGGAATAACACAGCTCTGGGGGGACCTGTCTCATCAGCCTTTACCAAAGCTTCCTAGATTAGCACCCTCACAGGGGCACCTGGTGGTAAGAGACAACGGACCAGCCTGTCCCTGGCCTGCCAAATGGGTCCGACGATGCTCGAGACTGAGGGTGAATATTAGAGCTGAAGGGTCAGATGCTGAGGAGCGAAGTTGACAATAGACAGTGGAGAAACTCAAAAGCTGAAGAAGACGAAGCTGCCTGCACATGGCGGGTTGCCCTCCTATAGGATCTCAGCAATATCTTGAATATTCATGCTAGTACCCAACCTTCTGTGCCCAAATCTAACTTCCTCACCCACATCATACTGGGGTGCACTTATTCTATAGCCTAGTGTAGTCACACATGTTAATGCCAATTGCCTCATTCTCAAACCTGTTATTTCTTTCCCAATCTGGTTTCCGGTCGTTACTTCCACATTCCTGTGGTGTCCCGTGTGGAGTCCCAAGTTTCTTAGATAAACATGTCTAGTTCCCCAAAATCTAAAAGGGTATCGGTTAGGCCATATATCTGAGCCTAAGTTCACCAGCCCCCTTAACCGTACAGATGCTCACTTGCTGAAGCTAAACATACAGGATACAGGCCTGTAGGACCCGTTACAGCCAAACATAATAACATAATCCAGTGCAAACATACAAGGCAAATATACCAAAGCAAACCAATAAATAAAGGCAGAACATAATAAAGCAAGCCAGCAGGTTAGCCCTCTGGCCTACAGGTGGACTGACAGAGATGGATCTAGGCTTGGGGCAGATGGACAGAAGGACAGAAAGAGATGGATCTAGGCTTGGGGCAGATGGACAGAAGGACAGACAGAGATGGATCTAGG